GCTGTCTTCTTAGTAACCAAGTATACGACATTTTCAATATTAATTTCTTGTTAATGTCTCTTATACCTTTAGTTTAATCCACATTCTAACCGATTTTATTAGTTTTTCTTAACTTGTGAATGTCCAAAATTACAACTGCTTTGAAACATCTGCAGGCTCCATAAAGTCTGAAATTGTGCTTAGTGGTGTGTCATTCTGTGACATTTTCAATTTCCTCTCCACCTCTTACAAAACTTTCTTGGACATTTAAAGAAGACTTGAGCTTTAAGGAACTTTGCTGAGTGAGACGGTGGTCTCTGAGGTAAAATGCCTATAGTGTCAGTACCAACTAGTTTGTACTACTTCTTAGTATCCATAGTATTAGTAATAGCCTATCTTACGTAGGTATTGTAAGTAAACTTTATAATAGTGCAGAAGTGCCACGCTTGTAGTTTAGCATCTTTGGTTGTTTCCTTCTCTGATTGGTGGAAATGTATCTGCAGAATTCACTAGGATTTTTGCAGTTATACATGATTATTTAAAAAATAAGATGACATAATGAGGGCTTACGACTTCAACAAAAGCATATTCCACCGATTAACAACCTTGTAGCTCACAGTAGGTCTGCCTGTAAAGGTTTAAAAGTTATCAGTCCCCCCATAGAGAAAATAAATGGGATTTTTTTTCTTCTGGAGCTCAAATGCTGCACTCTATTTTGGTCTGTTTCTGTTCCAAAGCTAACAGACATGGACTAGAAGCCACAAAACTCTAATTTCATGTCATAAATCTTATATACAGGATGAACAGAAAAGCAAGAAGACGGCCAGCACCAAGAGAAAAGGATCTCAAGAGCACCAGCAGGAGCATCAGCCCCAGGCTCAGGAGACGAGAGAGGAGGAGGAGGAGGAGGAAGAAGAAGAGGAAGTGCAGGAGGAGGCTGAGGAGGAGGAGGAGAGGCTCCTTCGTAGTGAGCCAAAGAGACACAGCCATCATCACCACCACCATCACCACCGCTCCAGCACCAGCCGACCAACAGAGCCCCACAACAAACACCAGCAGCCCGCCGACATGGAGCTGCTTCCTTTTAAAGACACTTCGTCCGCGGAGTTCCGGAGCAGGCGCACACTCCCGGTCGAGGGCGACCCAGACCAAACCGAGGTCTACCACAATAGGACTACAACTCAAAGGGACCATAACCACCACCATCACAACCACCACCACCGACATCACCACCACCACCGCCGCGGGATCACGGACGTTCAGCCGGATTATTCCCACCACGGGCAGCAGGACTACGAGCTGGAGCACAATGAGCACAACAGGCAACAGAGACAGTCGAGCCAGCTGCGCTCGCACAAACAATCGCACCACTATGCTCACTCGCACCACAATGACTATCACTACCAGGGACGGGAGCAGGACAGGTGCGTCGAGACAGAGGAGTGGACTGAAGACATGTACATTCATCGCTGAGATGGATGTTGTTTTAATGCTGCTATGTGAAATGCTGGCTACCATGTACTCAGGACAACATTTCTCTTTCTTTATCCGTTCTGCTGCGTTATCGCCTCCTCTGGTCCACATCTAATTTCCTTGATTTTCAGTTTTCATTCATATAATTCAGTGTTCCTCGGGCTTTAGGTTTGTGTCTTGCTATCAGGGCCTGACTACTGCATTTGTAAAAGATTTCAGCACATTGGTCCTTCCAATCCTGAGTATGTGGTTACTTTGCTTGTTACTGTTCCCGTTTCCTGATATGTACATATGCAAACTGGTCACGTCTCATACTGCTATGCTCTTACCCATGTTTATTTGTCACCCCTGAGAAAGATAACTGGATTTTTTATTTTTTTTTCAGTTGGCCTTTTGTAGAACATGCTGCCAACACTAGTGGTAGATATGAAAATATTAAGAATATAATACGGGACTAGCCACACAGAAATCATCATTTTGATATTTTCATGTCTGAGAAAAAATTGGGATTAAATGGGTTAATTATGCATTCACATTGTGCTGCTATTGGCTGCATGAAATATTGGCAAACTAAAGAATTCTCACTTGGGCTTTTCACCTCAAGGATTGGAAGGTCTGTTTTTTACCAACATTCAAACAATGACAGTCTAGTCTAGTTATTTTTTATGAATTTTTTCCACCTTATTTTTAACATAAGAATC